GCGGCTCCTGGATGCGGAGGGATCCCCGCAGGGCTGGCGTGGGCTCCCCCCCGGCCTTCCCGACGCCTCTCCCCGAAGCCCCACGCAGGATCATGCAGTGCTTCCGAAGGCAGCCCAAGCGCAGCGTGTCCCAGGAAAACGTCCTGCGGGAGCAGAGCCGTAGAGTGGCCGCGTTGAACGGCATCAGACTGGGTAAGGGACAAGCCGGCCAGACCCCCGGCGCTTCCACACGCTGGCAGCCGCCTCATTCCTGCCTCTTTTCCCTGTGCAGAGGCAGTGCCCCACCCTAAAGGCAACTCCAAAGTTATTTTTAAACTCCTAAGGTTTCTTTTCCTTTCCTTCGCCTGTAACCACCCGCCAGATGTGTAAACCGCTTCGTTTGAGGCATCAAAGAAAATGGGACCTCTTTGGCAAAGGGTCGGTTTCCACATCTCTTGATGGGCTTTCTGATCTGTCGCTGGTTGAGGGTGTTTGGGGAAGGCAGTGCCCTTTTCCTGCCTGATTTTACAACTTCTCCGTGGTGTATTGCCAGTTGCTGTAAGAGCCTGAGGAACCGCTCAGAGGTCTGCATTCATCAGTTGAAAAGAAAGAGGAAACCCAGGGAGTTTCATAATTTCTGTGCCTGGCTATGAACTCATTGCTGGTTCCTTCTCTCTGGAGAGAAGCCCAAGTGGATGCGGGTCCCTTGATTTCCGTGGCTGCAGAGGGCAGGTGGAAATGGAAAATCGCCATTTACCCACACGAGTTCTTTGGATTTTATCAGAAAGGCTTTCTGCCCTTTTAAACTGGCAAATCTGAGTTATGTCTGCTCTTAAACCAGGTGGGAGAGGGAGAGAAGGCAGGAGGAGGCTTGTTTTATAGCATTTGTAATTACCGTGTTTGTATCAGATCAACAGATTTGCAAGTGCGTGATGCAGAAATATGGATTATTACTGTCTTCTATAGACATCTTTCTATCTCCTTAGTGAACTCCAAGCCTGACTTCTACCGTGACAGCTATTGTTTTATTGTGTTTCCTGCTTGCTGTAAACCTGAGATGGATAATACAAAGGTTAACATATTTGATATCTTAATGTCTAAAGCTTCATAGTGCAGTATATTAACTTCATTGTTATTGCAGTGCTGAGCGTGCTTGAGGCACTCCTACCTTTGCCAAACATGATTTTCACTCTAAACATGACTGCACACTAAATATATTCTGTTTAGAAAGTGTGTGATTGATATTTTGCGAGGAGAGGGGCTGACCCTTGAAACCCTCTGCAATTTCGCATGCCAAGTATGTATTTGGTATTTCACAGAGGATGCTAAGCAAGACACAATCCTGCCACATATGTCAGGCAGGATTTGGACATCTATTTCAGTGTGATGATTGTGCCTCTCATGCCTAGTGTTATTATATAGTTGGAAACCAATATCCTTGTCCTGCTGCACAGTGTTTTTCAATTTTTAAATGATGTATGTGTATGATGCCTCTAGTTTCTTTCACAGAAGTTTCCATTGCTGTGAGATGGAGCTTTGGACCGCAAGCCTCCTCAGCTCCACGGGGTTGTTAGGCTGAAATCCTCAGGAGCTGGTTCAGGCATAAAACTTGAAATGAGATTTCAGCTGGGAAAAGGTGTCTTTTTTTTTTCTGGAAAGCATTTCAAATGACCAACTGAGAGTAATGTCCCACTGGCAGATCAGAGGTGTGTTTGTAGCTCCTGTATCAGCAGATCAGAGCGTCTTCCCCTCCATCTCTGGCCTAACAAAATGCTGGTGCTTTGTAGATAGAAATAGAGAGGCTAAGTGACTCACCCAAGGTCATCTAAAGAGTCTGTGGCAGTGCTTGGACTGAGCATAGGAGACAGGGCCCAAATCACTGGCCCTCTTTCCCAGGCAGTTTAGCTGTGTGAGCTTGAACTGCTGCCAGACAGACACAGAGCAAGCCTGAAACAGGCTGTGCCCACCCGGTTAAGGGGACGCCCTTCTTTCTTCCGGGCCCACCATTGGGTGCATCAGTCAGTATTTGGGGTCACCACCGGCGGAGGTCAGCTCTGGGTGGCTGCTGTCTATCTGAAAGGCCTCCCACATCAAAGGAATGACGGAGGTGTTAGACACCCATGATTAGCCCTCTCGCCCTTTGCTGGCCAAGCCCACCATCTCCTAGAGGCAAGCTTCTCTCCATCCCCTCCCTGGCTTCTCTCACTGCCCTCTGACTCTCTCTGCCACCTTTGATCTTTGCCTTGCTTTCACCATGCACCATCCCACCTCATCTTTCCCTCCTGCTCTTGCAAAGCGCAGTGGCCTCCTTTGCTGAGTCATTTAACCTGGCCTGGTCCTCTGGCACAGTGGGATGCCCACAAAAGGATGAGTGGGAGGGTGGCTCCCATCCTATAGTTAGATCCTCTAAAGAGGAAAGGGAGTTTTGACCAACACTAATGCATTGACTGGGCTGTGCCAGCGAGCAGGGTGAAAGGCTCTGAGCTCCAGCTTGTGTCCCACCTGTGTCGATCAAGCCTGGAAGAGGAGAATCTGCCCTTGACCACTGCCTCTGCCCATCCAGATTTGCCTCGATTACATTTGGGATGTCCAGGTAGCATGACACGTTACACACGCTGCATGCAGTGTTTGTGTAACGAAACATGCCCCAGTTAAACAGGGATTTCTCATTACACACTTATGCACATAGGCACCCAAAGGAATTGATGGTTTTCCTGCTTTCCTCCTCAAGTCACCCTAGGATGGCATGTCCTCCTCCAAGTCCCATAATGATGCCTTGCATGGTTGGGATGTGAGGAAAGAGAAGGAATGAGCCTGGGAGCCAGAACAGAAAGGTTGTGGGTGAATAGAGAGAAGGAAGAAGTTTTGTTTCCTCTCCAGGAACCTTGAGGGGTACCACAGATGTGTTAGTGAGCCCTAAGTCTGTGCTACCTTCTCTGCACTTGGAAGACATTTGCCTCAAAGGGGAAGACTTAACACCACAACTCAGGAGGCCGAGGACCTGTGAAGCTGTTGTGGTGTCTGTCTTTCCTCTGGGTGGTCTGGCCTCTTGTCATCCCTGGATATGCTTGAACCTCAGCAAACCCAGGAGGGTGTCCCAGATCCCCTAGCTGTTGTCAGTCTTTCATCCTCCTGTGCTTTGCAGGAGATTTTTTTTTTTCACTTCTGTCCATGAGTTTCTTTCTGAGGTTTCCAGAGTAAGCATTCAAATTCTCTTCTTCGGAACCTCCAGACCAGACAGGAGCTGAGAGGTCCAGGGGATGTTGTAGCATAGGAAGGCACTTAATTAATGAGATAGTTAATTGAATGTAGAGGAAAAAGACAGCCACCTTTTCATGATCTCCAGTTCCCACTGTGGTGCTTTCAATTCTGGATGACTCAGCCAGGCTCAGCTCTGGCCATGCTGTTCCTTGGCATGTGTAAAACCAGTAAAATGGTATGAGTGGCTCACTGAGAGGACACTGAACACCCCTAACATTTATCTCTGATGGAGATCTCAGGCTTTCTTTGCAGCCTAAAATGCTCTCTTTAGGCCAGTGTATCCCAGTTACCAACTCATGGTGCTGCTTTTTGCTGCTGCCATCATGACCCACCTTGGTGTGCTGCAACACCTGGCACTTCAGTTTCCTGCATGGTTTCTCAGGAATCTGGGGATTTGGACACTTAGATCTCATGCTGGGTTTTGTTTTTCGAGCAGGCCTGAAGTGATGCTTGGTAATTTATTGCCTTGCCCTGTTTAAAAAAAAAAACAAGTCAAGGCAGCTGTGTCTTCCAGAGAGGAACAAGCCCAATGTCAGAGGGGAATGCCACACTGCAATATAAACGTTATTGCGTAAAGCAGTTAACCTGGATTTCTGCTTTGTGAAACCCCACATTATGTTTAGGTAGCATTGGGAATTTTCTCATTATGTGAGTGTCAGGTGTCTGCAAGTAGTCAAATGGTTATCTACATTGTCAAGATAAATTTAGCAAAAACTCCCATTGAGTCAGGATGTGCTTGGTCAGTACTACAGAGTTAAATGCTGTTTCACCAGCTTTGAACCAGCCTTTCATGCAATGTCAGAGAGATGCAAGGTGCCTATTACAGAAAGCCCAAGATGTGTTTCTCATGTTTCATGCTCTCACCCTCCCCAGCCCACACGCTCCAGATCTGTAATTAATGGTTGGTTTGAGGGACAGATTCTCCAAGGTATTTGAGTATGTGGAAGTCATATACTGCTGAGGCATTCAAAACCATGTAGAATGCCAAATCTGTGTTTTCAAAGTCTCCGTAGATGCCTGTTCCCTCTCTAGATGTCAAAGTGCATTCCTGAATCTAGGCTAAGAAGTGAAATCTGAAGTTCCTGGAACCAGAAGGTCAGGTTATTATTACTTGGCATTGTGATGGCCTAGCAGGGTAAGAAAGATAAAGGTCCTCTCCTATACTAGCTGAGCAATGAGGAGAGCATGGTTGCTACCTTACTGAAGTGATGCTGCCTGTCACCAATCTTATCTGTGTATGTCCTAAGCTTCATGACACTGATCTTCAAAATTCCTGTGTGGATAGGAGGGGAATGCTTACCAGAGGAGGAACAGAGATATCTTTGTGTATTCCTGTTTCCACAAAGGAATAGATTTGATATTACTTCAAAGTTCCTGACAGTACTCCAGTTAAAAGTTATACAAGTTTATTTTCTCTGCTTTTACTGTTATGTTGTTGGTTTTGTTGTAGTGTTTGCATCCTAACATTAGACTATATTAGAAGATATTTTATATTTATAATTTATAAACTGCCTGAGAATTATAGTACACAAGTCTTTGGGCTCAATCTAACAAATGTACAAGTCTTCAGACTCTTTAGTGAGCCTAAAGTGTGGCAGGGCAGATTTCTGGGTGTCTCTGCTCTGCTGTTCCTCTCCAGACCTGGCTGCACTGCAGTCGTCTGTCTATGTCTGTGATTAGTGTCCTGTGGAAGGGAAGACCCTATAAGCATCATTTCTTGAGTTGACTCTTATAACATTACCAGTACTGTTTCTCCACAGGCCTGAAAGATGACAAGGATCTGAAGTTCCTCCTGAAAGGCAGCCAGCTGCTAAAAGTGAAGTCAGGCTCTTGGAGAAAGGAGCGGTTTTATAAGCTCCAGGAGGACTGCAAAACCATATGGCAGGAATCGAAGAAGATGCTGAGGTCTCCGGAGTCACAGATCTGTAAGTAAAGTTTGCTTCATCATGGGGGACAGAGGTGCTTGGGGCAAACCAGGACCATTCTGCTTGCGGTGTGGAGGTAGGGCTTGGAGCAATGAGACCAGATCCTTCATACCTCCTGTAACACACAAACTGATGCCGTCAGCTCCGGAGACAGCTGGGAGGAATCTGCCGTGTCAGGAATGGCCACATTTCCCAAGCTCATGAGCTACTGCTTAAAATCGTTGTGGGGTAGGCCGTGCTGGTCTCAGCAACCCTGCCTAGCTCGTTTTCTCCCCAGACCAAGAGTTCAGGTTACTCTGGTGCCCAAGCCCTAATGCTCAGTGTGAGACATGGCTTGAGCATCTATGGTGTGGTATGGTGCGCTTTGGCTGTTGGTGTGGATACTTCTTCGCCTGCAGCCCCTGGGAAAGCTGACATTTAAGCCTCGCAAGGGAACTACAGAGATGTGGAGATCCGTGGGCTGGCAGGAGATATCTCTGGGAAGGACAGCCTGTTCTTAGCCTTATCTTGGAAACTCAGAATCTACCCCGTTGTAAAAAGTCCAGATAGGACAGTCACCATTATATGGACACAGGGAAAACTGTTCTGTGCCAGCATCGCCCAACCTGGGGTCATAATTGGGACCAGGAGCCCAACGGTGCAGTCAAATGGGATTGGGCAGGGTGTCTATCTGTTTATCTCTGTTTATATCTGTTTTTTCTTGTCACTTGATATTTTTCTGAACATATTTCCCTGTCACTAATCATCACAGTCTTGTAAAGCCAGGAGGTAAATGAATAATGTGGAATATATTTTATGGCATGTTGAAATGTAGAACACGCTGTCCATGTTATTGACACAAGTTTTTTGGTAACAATCACAATTAACTAAATGAAGGGTGGGTCTTCCAAATTACCTCCCTCCCACAAGCAGTGATAAGATTTACAGTAGGAGTAAGGTAGCAGGGCAAAATACATTTCATTTATAATCTTGATGGCCGCACTCCTCTCACATGACCTTGGGCATCTCATTTAATCTCTTTGTGCATCTTTCCCCACACATTTCCTTTCTACTCCTCCATCTAGCTATAAAAGGCTTTGGACTGGAGGCTGTCCCTTAGTGCATGCCCAGCATGGCAGGGTCCTGAGCTCAGACTGGCTATTTAGGTACCAATGCAGTAATGCATGATAACAACAACAAACGCAGAAGCCCTAGTGAATGTTTTCTCCCTAGGAATGCCTGCTCTGTTGAGCTCTGCCCCATATAAAAGCAAAGTCCTTTCCTAGATAATGTCTTGCTGTAAAACAAATAAAGATGTGAGTTGAGAAGAACGACTTTCAGAACTTTCTTTCCTGTACTCTGAGCCAGCAGTTTCCAAATTATGGGGACTGAGGACACCTCCAACAACAGTCCTGACCCCAGCTGGTCCTCTGAAATAAATGGGAGGCAGTCCTTGTGCTGTGGCTTCAGGGACCTTGACGTCTACTTGGAGAAGTACTGGTCGAACCGAACCCACTGCCTGCATCGCAGGGGCAGTGACATGGAGAGCTGGCACGACTGTAACTTTTTTATATACTGAGCTGCAATAAAAGCCCGGCAGTGAGATCACATCCTTTGAGCTGGGTGTTGGGCACAGGCCGGGAGTGTGTGTCTGTGTGGGTGTGGATTTACAACACTCAAGATACACTTTGCTAACTGGGCACAACCAGTGTTGCCACACTGCTGAGATAGAGGCAGTGCCACTGCAGGAAGAACTTGCTGAGCCCTGGGACTGTCCTCAGTGCAAAGTGAAGATGGAGTAATGTCACCTACTGACTCACAGCCACATGTATGCTCCATAATGCCTCCATGCTTGCACACCTTTCCCCGGAGAAAGATTCCCTTTTTTGTCACCAAGACAGCAGGAAGGGAGACAAGGCAGTCGAGGCAGAGCTTGTCCTCGCTGCTCTGAAAAAGCAAGCTGGAAAAAAGTCCAGGCTGGCTTTGCACCCATACACCTGGCTGGCTGCGGGAGCATTCCTGGTAGCCACGTTGACCTACCAAGCATGCCAGGGCAGTCTGTGACCCACACGCTCCTGGGAGGATGTGAAGTTGTGCTGGCAGTTGTGGCACAAGCTTTCGGGAGGGTTGGAGGGCCACCTTGGGGCTGCTTTCAACAGCTGCTGTGGAGGCACCTGAACCTGGAAGTCAGCAAGAGAAATGAGTACTGGACTGATGCCTGCCCAGTCCCTCACCATAACCCCAAGACATCTGTTCTCCTAAGTCTTTCTCCTCTGTTGGTCCTCTGAGACCATCCATTCCCAAGTTTTCAGAGTGGTCACCGGGTTTGAGTTTCTTTCTTGAGCTTTTAACTTCAACAGGCTGCTTTGGGCTTGGGTATATAGAGGTTAACCCTGGTTAGTGTTGTGTCCTCTGGCAGGCTCTATCACTGTGTCCACCTTATCCTTTGGTCCAGTGTGTGAAGGTGGTCAAATCAGAGGAAGAGTGCAGGGTCATGATTTGATACTCAGAATCAGGGACTTCAAGGCGAGTCTCTCCAGAGGGTCGCCCTCGCCCTTCCTTGTAACAGACAGTGACTTTGCCCTCCAGTACAAAGCCTTTCTAAAACTGCAGATAAGCTGCCTTTTTTTAGGAAGGAAAAGCAATGAGCAGAATGGAAACTGGGAGGTTTTAGCAACAGGTCTAATCTTATCTGCAGCACTGCTGACAGCAAGCAGATGGAGGCACCTCAGAGGAGTGAAGTCTGGGTAGGGTAAGGGTTGTGTTTCTGTTTGGACAGTTTCCTGTTATTCCTGTTACTGTTCTTATAATCATGCAGAAAAGCTATTTGTAAACCATTGTGTGCTGGTGTCTAGTAGATAAAACTGGGGGCTGCCAAAGTTAGACAGAAGAATCTCAGATGCTTGAAGTTAAAAAACCCAACATATCAGGGTTGTCACAGGCACAGATGTTGCCTGGATCAGATACATGGGGTACAACCAGTACTGTCCTCTGTTGTCTTTATTTTAAACAATTGGAAATTTAGATTGGATGCTGTCTTCATAGCTGTATCACCCACAGGGCTTTTGGGGAGATAGGCTGCCATTTCAATATGGTTTCTATGCAGGTAGAGCATCATTCATGTTTTCCTTATTAGCTATGATCCAATATCTTTCAGTACGTTCCATTTAGGCCCAAGCATCTTAAATGGTCAGTTTACCAGCAAACATGTTATGCCCTGTGTGTAATTCCTGATGGGCTCCAGCAGAAACACAAGGGTGCTGGGCATGAAGGGCTGCACAAAAGCACCTTTAAAAATCCATTTTTCACCATAACCTGCTACATCCTGTGTCTGAACTGTGTACTGGGCCCATAAACACACTGCTGCTCTCTGTTATCTTAAATTATCTTTCTATGATGGGGTTACAGTGTTAGTGGATGAGGGAAGAGCAATTGATGTCATCTACCTGGGTTTGTGCAAAGCTCTTGATGCTGTCCCTCACGACATCCTTGTCTCTTAACTGGAGAGACATGGATTTGACAGATGGACCACTCGGTAGATAAGGAATTGGCTGGATGGTTGCACTCAGAGAGTTGTGGTCAATAGCTTGGTGTCCAAGTGGAGAGCAGTGACGAGTGGCGTTCCTCAGGGGTTGGTGTTGGGACCGACGCTGTTTAACATCTTTGTTGGTGACATGGCTAGTGGGATCAAGTGCACCCTCAGCAAGTTTGCCAAAGACACCAAGCTGTGTGGTGTGGTGACACACTGGAGGGCAGGGATGCCATCCAGAGGGACCTGGACAGGCTGGAGAGGTGGGCCCGTGCAAAGTTCATGAAGTTCAACAAGGACAAGTGCAAGGTCCTGCACGGGGATCGGGGCAATCCCCAACACTGATACAGGCTGGGTGACAAGTGGGTTGAGAGCAGCCCTGCGGAGAAGGCCTTGGGGGTGTTGGTGGATGGAAAACTAACTGTGAGCCAGCAATGTGTGCCCACAGCCCAGAAACCCAACCGTGTCCTGGGTTGCATCAAGAGAAGTGTGGCCAGTAGGTCGAGGGAGGGGATTCTCCCCCTCTGCTCCGCTTTGGGGAGACCCCCCTGCAGTGCTGGGGCCAGTTCTGGGGCCCCCAACAGCAGAAGGACACGGAGCTGCTCGAGCGGGGCCAGAGGAGGCCACAAAGATGCTCGGGGGGCTGGAGCAGCTCCCCTGGGAGGCTGGGCTGAGAGAGTTGGGGGGGTTCAGCCTGGAGAAGAGAAGGCTCCGGGGAGACCTTAGAGTGGCTTCCAGTGCTTAAAGGGGAGACAGGAAAGGTGGGGAGGGACTCTATCAGGGAGGGTGGGAATAGGGTGAGGGGTGATGGTTTTAAACTGAAAGAGGGCAGATTTAGATTAGATCCAAGGAAGAAATTCTTCACTCTGAGGGTGGTGAGGCACTGGCACAGGGTGCCCAGAGAAGCTGTGGCTGCCCCCTCCCTGGAAGGGTTCAAGGCCAGGTTGGACGGGGCTGGGAGCCCCCTGGGCTGGGGGAAGGGGGCCCTGCCCGGGGCAGGGGGGTTGGAACTGGGTGATCTTGAAGGTCCCTTCCAACCCAAACCATTCTGTGATTCTATGAAATGTTTTGTAGAGCTACTGTCAGGGCGGATGCTTCTTTGGCCCAGGAGGCTTTTACATATGGGACAGCTTTATCCCTAGGCTGAGAAAACAGGGTGTGAGTGGCAGGATTAACAGTTTTGAGGGAAAGAAAAGGTTTGTGCAAGGGAGCTGGTCAACAGCTCAATCAGAGTCAGTTCATGCCTGAGCATTACTATGGTGGGAGGCAGGAGAGCCAAAGGAGGCAGAGGGACTTGTGTTGAAAGATCAGCAGCCTGTCAGTGGCACTTTCTTCTTTAGCTGTGGTCAAATATCAGGTCTCATCTATGTGAAAAAAAGAGCAAAAAGGCATGTGCTGCTTTCAGTGAAATCAATTTTTGAAAGCCTTTTCTTAAACCAGCTGAAATCCCTAGCATGAGTTCACTTAAGCCAGTCTCAATCCCTTTAAAAAC